GAGAGAGAGAGAGAGAGAGAGAGAGAGAGAGAGAGAGAGAGAGAGAGAGAGAGAGAGAGATGGACAGCAGCACCTGCATTTTGATGATGCGCATGAATTGCTGAAACTTTCCAAACAAAAAAAACAAAAATGAACCCTTATCCAATTCTCCCACCTCTGCTCTGTCCTGCCACAGTGGGCAACCACTTTTTACGTCCACTGTTTTTTTCCATGCACGGATCCTGTGCCCAGATAGATGCTCCCTGGCCAGGAAGGACCTTTGGGCGGGGTAATGGACAGCCCCAGTCCATATCTAAAGAAGAGAGGAATGTAAAAAATCAGGGAAAAAAGTTTGTTGTATACAGGTGCCATGCAAACACCTTTTTTTTTTCTTTTTTTCCTACTGGAAGGGAGAAGGTCTTGAGATATCATCATTGAACTGACCGGCCCCAGCTACTGCAGAATTATTTAATTATATTCATCTGATTGCATCTGTATTCGAACATGAATCTGTATTCCAATAATTCAATGGTGTACCGACTGAGCTAGGCCCGTTGGTCGATGCAGAGAACTATGGTCTGAGGGTCACCTCAGGATTCTTTACTGAATCGAAGATAGAAAAGAGAAAAAATGAAAAAAAGGCAACCCCCAGGAAATCCCTTCAAGCCACTTTAACCCCCCCACATGGTCCGAGGGTCACCTCAGGATTCTTTGCTGAATCGAAGATAGAAAAGAGGAAAAAACTTCAAAAAGAGAAACAAAAGGCAACCCCCTGGAAATCCCTTTAAGCCACTTTAACCCCCCCCTTAAACGGGCAACATTGAATGGGCAACATTGAACGGGAAAAAAGGAAAAAGCAAAGGCAACCCCCTGGAAATCCCTTTAAGCCACTTTAAGCCCATTTAGATACCCGCCCCCCCCCTTAAACGGACAACATTGAAAAACAAAAAACAGCTTAGATTTGGGATGCTCTGGTGGGCACAGAAAAGCCCCACCCACGGAAAGAAAATAAAAATCCCAGAGTTTCACATGCCCTGGGCAAGCGGGCACCGAGCTACAACCATCAGCCTTTAGTCCGTTGATGCCTCCAGATCTGTGCTCAAATTCATACCCCAATGCGCGGATGTGGCTCCCGGCAGGCCTAAGGGGCCCCTTATGCAAGTGTGCCCGCCCTAAGTGAAGGCGGGCCTAACAAATCACGAGAGGCCGAATGCTGTCAATTTCATATTTGGGGTTCAGACAGTTGTGTCGCGTCAGTTGGTTGAGGGAACCCAGGACCCGAGCAGCAAATACTTTCCACGGCCTTCTAGGCCTTTTCTGAAATACAGGCCCTGGGCCACATTCGCAGCTACATACACACAGTTGGGAGGCATAACTGAACAGGCCCAGCAGCAGCAGCAGAGGCCCAGCTACCTGGGGCCTAACGGAAGCTTCTGCGCCCAGACAAGCCAGGCTGCAGGCCAGGCCAGACTCTTTCCACATAGAAAATAGTTCGCTACCGGGCAGCTCATTCGGGCACTTGTTAGTTTGCAACAGCGCTGCTGGAGCGATTGCTCGCGTGCTGCTGCTAGCGCTGGGGCAAGGTGCTGTGCATGCGCGGTTGTGTGTGAAGAAGGGCGCTGCTGAGGGCAGCGCCATAGCCCAGCTTCCATAGCTGGCTGGACTTGGACATACAGCAAGGCGCAGTGGTGGTCTTCGGGTGTACAGAGGGCAGACAAGAAAGACAGAAGAGGGAGAGAGAGATAGAGATGAGGATGATGATGTGAGGGCTCATACCTGGTATTGGCGATGGTCTGCATTGGGTGACATCTTCATGTACTTCGGTGGCTGCTGACGTCGACAGTTGCATTGTCAATACTTAGGCAGACAGTAGCTGTGTGGGAGTAGTCTGGGCGCCGAGCGCCAAGTAGGGGGAAGGGTCTGGACTCTTATGTCGGTGAAGACGCGAGTAAGCTCTCTTTGACATTTGGTTTCAGTGTTACGATTCTCCATTGGTGTATTATTGGTGCGATGTACTTTCTGGACACTGTGGAACTTTCTGGCTTTCAATGTGATTGTGCAATCTGATTCTGTCATCTCGCTCTTGCTCATTTTCCTTGCACCAACCTCAACAGCGTGTGCGCATGCCTGCATGTGTGGGTGTGCGTGCCTGCATGGGCATGGGTGTCGGTGCGAGGGTAGGTTTCAAGGCGATCTCCTACCGACGGACTTTTCATCCTTTCCAGTACCTGGGTTCAAACCTCTTTCAACACTGTCTGTGAATGTTTTCTTTTCCCTGTTTTGGCCTTGACACCCCGACAAAGCTCATCTGACGTCTCACATTCTCACTGCGTTCTGGGCCTTCTGGCACAAAATCAATGCGCTCAAGACCTTCGCGATGGGGATCGGTTCCCAGCATGTCCTGCTCACCACGAATAGATTGAAGCATTGAAAAAAAAAAAAGATCTCCGTGATGGGCACACAGACCTATCCATGAAAGAAGGAAAGCTTGGACGGCTTCTGACACGCTACGGACCAAGAATCCCACCATCCTGCAATCAAAAACTAGAAGTAACAGGGTCGGCGCACATGGGTGTGCTCATAGCTCGTAAACTTTGTGCCTATGTTAGGAGAAAGAAATTGTATCTATAATTTGAAGTCCACCAGTACTCAGGCCGATAGCAGTGCAGCAGCAGCATGTAGAATGTCCTGAAAATTAAGCACTGCAGTGAAAAACGTACTCCATAAATTTACAAATTTCACAAACACCAGTGCAGAAGGCTCAAAGTACATAGCCAATCCTGTATGGCATCAACATTATAATGATTAACAACTGATGCAGAAGGCTCAAAGTACATAGCCAATCCTGGGGCATCACGCGGCTCTATGGCATCAACATTATAATGATTAACAACTGAAAATCGGCAGAAAAGCAGGCCAATACTTACTCTCCAATTCCAGATTCTCCACAAGATCTGGTGCAGTGAAGTTGATTTTCAAGCCTTTAAGCTCGTTGAGCATCATGATCTCCCAGGAGTAACTGAAATATGAAATCTTGGGCAGCCATGAAAGGCGTTTTGTTCCCTTTGACGCATTAGTTCCACTTGTATTCAGTAGCAACCCTGCAAACACCCACAATTGTTGAGAAGAGAAGGGTTTCGCAAACCAATTAGAGCAGTCTTGTAGTTTTGGGAACACTTTATCACCTGCAAACTTGTACTTGCATTTTTATTAAAAAAAATCATCACTTCACGCACATTTCATCTCTCTCTCTCTCTCTCTCTGTGTGTGTGTGTGTGTGTGTGTGTGGATCCTGTCATGCTCGCACAAAACAGCACGAGAGAGAGGAGGAGAGAGAGAGAGAGAGAGAGAGAGAGAGAGAGAGAGAGAGAGAGAGAGAGATCTGTGACATCTTTGCTTTCTTCCTCTTTCTTCGCTTGCACGTCCACTCTCTCTCTCTGTGGATCCTGTCATGCTCGCACAAAATAGCAAAAGAGAGAGAGAGAGAGAGAGAGAGAGAGAGAGAGAGAGAGAGAGAGAGAGAGAGAGAGAGAGAGAGAGAGAGAGAGAGAGAGAGAGAG